ACTTTCGTGGTTTCCGCTATTAAATGCAGAGAAAACTGCGTCTATGTTCATGTTTCGTCACCAGATGGCAGGGCGCAACCGTAACACAGATATAAGTAATAGTTTATTTGAAGATGTGGCAAATTTAAACTATTCTGGAACGACACTAACAGATTAGAGTGTTATCAATGAAGAAATTAAGAACAGATTAAGTTCGGCCCTTTGTCTTCCTGTCTGTTAACGAAGAATGAGAAAGTTAAAATATACGAAACTGTAATTCTGTCTGTTTTTTGAATGGGTGTGAAACTTGGCTTCACATATTAAGGGAAGAAACAGACTGAGGGTGTTTGAGTATAGGGTACTGAGGATAATATTTTGACACGAAGACGAAATAATAGGATACTGGAGAAAACTGCATGAGGAGGAGCTTCATAATTTGTACTCCTTGCCCTAATAAATGTTACTAGTTTCATTGATTCAAGTGGGATGAAATTTTAGAGGGAATGTAGCACGCATGGTGGAAAGAAGGATAATACACACAGAGTGTTGGTAGGAGAATTAGAAATGGTTCACTAGGTCGACGTAGACGTAGATGGGAGGACGCTATTAAAATCGATAAGATGGCGCAAGTGCGCTTGATACGTCTGGCGTAAAATAGGGGCCAATGAAGACGATAATAGCTTACAGGTTCCATAACATGCCGGTAGCTTCTTGACTACCTGAGCAATTACTACTGGCATCTCAAAAAGGGCTTTAGAGAGCCCTTAAAGAATCATTGGGCTGTCTGTGGTGGGTGTAGTATAATGTCAAGTCTCGTTTTCCCGTCGTTCCCTTATACGAGAACGCACATGAGGAAACTGCTCATGACCGCGGCAGTTGATCCCTCTACCCCGCGCAACCCTGTCTCATGGGATGGGGTGGTTGTAACAGCACTCATGCTGCAGGGAGCAACGTACTGCCATTCTCCCGCCATTTCATGTTACATATAGTTGTTTGGCGGACATCATGCCATGGCGCCAACTGGCTGCCACGCCCAGGCGCGGCACGTGGACGCGTATGTCACAGAAAGTTTGTGACGCGAATCTTCCACTTTGGACTGTGTATTTTCCGTTTATCTTTAGACATTTCGTGTGAAAGCTAGTTGGAATTTTCTTATTGTTTTATGCAGTCTCTGCAAAGTGTCTTACTTCATATTCGTATCCGTCCTAATCCTTGTCAGAATTTCATTACTTATCTTCGCCAATAATATCCATAAGCCGACCAAGAATTTTCACTTCACCAGACCGGCTCTGGGGTCCACCCAACTCCTATCCAAAGGATACCGGGGGCTCTTTCTCCGGGGGTTAAGGGGCCGGGACTGGAAGCTGGCCACTCACCTCCAACTAGTGCCGAGGGCAAGAAAACGTCGGTCTATACATCCACTCCTCCATATGCCTTAATGGCGTAGTGCTCTCTTAGTTAAGTAACTTTAGTAAGTAAACTTTACCTTTTTAACTATACCTTAAGCGTATTGTGAAAAGCGCAGTTTCAGTTATCCTGGAGGAACAACAAAGACTAAGGGTCGGGGTAGCTTAGTCAGCATAGCGACTGGCTACAGGCTAGACGACCAAGGGATCGGAGTTCGAGTCTCGGTAGGGTAAAGAATTTTTTCTTCTCCATGTCGGCCAGACCAGCTCTGGGGCTCATACAGCCTCCCATCTAGTGGGTACCGGGAGATCGTTCCCCGGGGGCTAAACAGCCGGGGTGTGTAGCTGACAACTCACCTCTAACTACTGCCGGCGTCAAGAAAATGTGGATCTATACGTCTACTCCCCCACACGCTTTCATGGCGTAGTGCTTAATTAGTTAAGCACAGGGACAACTTTACCTTTTTTTTTACAACAAAGACTGGTTACCCAGAAGTTCTTGATCTCCAGGCATCAGTGTGAAGTTATAAGAAAACATGACTATCGCAATAGCTCCAATTATAACACGAACATGCTTAGTAATACAGTTTATAAAGAATGCTACCTTTGCAAACTGCATATTGTGCAAGCTGCAGTCAAAATACAAACACACGTGGAGCGGTAACGTTATATATATGTTATATGTATATATATATTTACAGTAGATGGCTTGTATAGAGTGTGTCGTAATAATAGTAAGGCGTTCTTATCGTCCACGAAGAAAAATACATGGTATCGTTTTGATTTTGATTATTGAGTTTATACTATATCACTTTATATGCTGGATTTTTTTTAGGTTTTTTTTATTGCTAGTGGGGTGGGACTAAGTCCCTTGTACTGCGGCCACTTCTGGCCTGTTGTACCAGCCCCAGATGATAGGCGAGGGTGATTGTGGAGCAATTGGCGGAATGAAGATTGGCAGGGGAAACCGATGCACTCGGAGAAAACCTGCCCCAGCGCCACTTTGTCCACCACAAATCCCACTTGACCGCCGCGGTGGGAAGTCACCGACTAACCGCTTGAGCTATGGCTCGGCCCTTATACCACATTACTTTATATGCTGGATAATTTTTTTTTTTAGTTAGCAGATGGATTGTATAGTGTTTGTCGCAACAATAGGCAATTTTGCATACCATCCCCTAAACAAAATATATAATATTAGTGTGATTATCATGTTTGATTACCTGCCGTATAACTTCGTGAGCTGTATTATTTTTATATTAAAGTTGGTACGGTTGTAAAACTAATGGAAATAATAACGATTCAATATTTTCAAAACCCGTACCATAAACTATTCCAACATGGAAGGCGTGCGAATAATTTTTGAGGCTGGAGAAACTGCATTGAATCTTGAACTTTTGTTTGATGATAAACAAAATGCAAATATGGAATCTTTCTCAAAATATTATTGTCTGAAATGCATATGAAAGATAATGTGGTGACAGCTCGAAATGTTTACGAATTTATCATGGCCACTGATAAGCCAATGACATGCGGCTAATATAGTGAAATGTTATAGAAGCTTCGTCATTCAAACTGGCCTTGTGTGCTAAAAATTAACCACGACAGTGCAAAGTTTTTTGAGTTGTCGTAACCACTCCACTTACGCGACGCAGAAATTGTAAAGTAAAGTAGAAGTAAAGGTATCCCTTTAACAGGCCGTGGAGGCCTATAGGGTTGTGAGATGTTTAGAATCCCACATTTTCTAGACAGTCGGCTCACAGATGGCGGTAAGTTTGTCAGCCTTACGCGCCGACCACCCTTTACCCCCAAGAAGAATACTGGTACTCATTTCTGTTAGAGGCTGAGTCGACCCCAGGGCTATAGTGCGACTGGAAGGATTAGGTTAATTGAAAAAAAGTCAAATCATCGGGATTTGATCCCGCGACCTTCCGGATTGTAGCATAGTGCCTCAACCAACTACGCTACCGCGTGCCCCCGCGACACAAAACCTGTATTCATTATTTTTATTAATTAATTAAAGGCTGAGTAACCCAGAACTTAATTACAATTAAAACTAGTTGGATAACTAATGATTAATTTTTTTCTAAACCTATTATACTACGTAAATTAAAACCAAGTCACTTCAACTGAATTACCTAGTACTTTAACATTTAACTAGTTCGAACGGTTTCTTCCGTTGGAGTCATCTAATGATATTGTTCACGTTGAGAAGTGTGGACGCTTCAATGTTGACATGGTTTTGGAGTCACTTTTCATGAGGTGGCGGACGATGATATCTGTAACCGTCTCGATCTCAAGGTCACCATGGAGGTCAATGTTACGAACGTACCTTGGTGCGTTGACAATACAATTTAGCACTTTGTTCTGATAGCGTTGAACCACTTGAATATTGGATTCACTGGCGCAGCCCCAGAGCTGGGTACCATAACTCCAAACTGGACGTACAGTTTGTTTGTATAATGTAAGTTTATTGTGGATTGATAGCTCAGAATTGCGTCCAAGCAACAAATACATTTTTCTGAACTGTATTCATTATAAAGGTAAAGTTGTCCCCGTGCTTAACTAATTAAGCACTAAACCATGAAGGCGTATGGAGGAGTGGATGTATAGGTACCAGTTTTCCTGACCTCGGCACTAGATGGAGGTGAGTTGTCAGCTTCACGCCCCGGCCACTTCTTCCCCGAGGAAACAGTGTGCAGTACCCGTTGTACTCTTATAGGAAGCTGGGTCGGCCCCAGAACAGGCTTGGACGGTATGGAAAAGAGAAAAAATCTCTTCCCTTACCGGGAATCGAACCTCGATAACTCCGTCGTAGTCGTAACTCCGTAGCCTAGTCGCTATACCGACCGCGCTAAGTGAGGGCCTACAACTGGAGCAGTTTGTTTCTGTTGTTCCGAATCAATTGAAGACGATAATTTGGGCGTATGTAGTAGGAATGTGATAGGCGAGAGAGGTGTACAAAATTTAGGTAGGGAAATCCGAGGGAGGGAGACAGGAACACCTGGGCGTACATAGAAGGACAGTATTTAAAGTATTATTAAAGTAGGAGAGAGAAATGTGGACTGGATTAATTTGCTTTTTTTATTTTGAAAAATCATGTTACGCAAAAAAGGCCTAGGCAGTGCCCATCCGGCCCATCTTATTCTCTCATAGTGGTCAGGATAGGGACTGGTGGCGGACTGTTGTGAACCTGGTAACGAACCTTCGGGTTTCATAAAATGCTGGGAATTTGAAAGAGACTGAACAGCTACAGAGTTATTATGATAGACTTATGTGAATGAAGTTCGATAGCAGTGGAAATACACGGTAAATTTACTGTAGTCTTATGATATGTTTATTCGAGGCCCTTGCTGAAAAGCACGTGTGAAAGTTTGGTTGTAGAACACGTGCAGGAAGTTCAGGTTGTACCAAAATATGGTGTAGCGTTCACTACTGCACGTTATTGTTGTCTGCTTCTGGCGGGATTCTCTCTCTCTCTGTCTCTCACTCCCTGTCTAGTAGAGCGGCAGACATGTTGTTCGGGCGGGAGACTGCGTGAAGCGTTCCCATTGGCTGGAGTGTGCAACGTCATCAGAGCAAAGAACTCGCCATAGAAGCAAGGACGGGTGGTGGCTGTGAAGTAGTTGATCGTGAATCGAAGGCTGAGGAGGACGCGTTTGATCTGGCATCGGCGATTAGTTATACTGTTGTGAAACCCAACTCTAAAGAAATGTAACAGTGCTATGATAGTGGATGTTTGTACCGGAGGAATGCAAATAATTTAAACTGAGATTTGTAGGATTGTGGTAGATTATTCTGTTCCCCCATTTGGAGTGGCGGGAAAAGGCCATTGACTGGCAAGCGAGCGGACGGTGCAGGAGTAGAACAGACTTTTTTTGTACCACGTGTAAGGAACAAGACAACAAACACTGTTGCGTCTCATCACTTCGTATTGGTGAAAGGTTGCTTTCTAGTGCTGCTAATTGGACTGTGTCCGCCTCGTTCAGACTTGGAATTGTTGGTTGTTGACTCGCCTTGAAAATGAATGGACCAGAGAAGTGTTCCCGTGGGAATTCAATAGTTTCAGCGGTGGCAAGATTCCTTAAGATAGGAAACAAGGCCAAAGTGAAGAGAAAGGTGAGTAATTAGGTGCCTGTGTTACTGTACTGGTCTTCATAACAGTAAAGTTAAACAGAAGTTACACTGGTTGGTGGATGAGCAAAGTATAATATATATAGGCTTCATATAGCAGAGGCAGTGAGAGACTGATAGTTTTTCAGTCAGAAATTTCTGTGCTTGTCATGGGATCCCAAGTTTCGTTACTGTGTTCAGAGAAAAACAGGAGGCAAAAGAATGCGTAATTAACTCCAACAAGTATAGATAGGCGAGGTTCGAAACCAAATTTCAACTACTAAAAGTCGTCCAGATTGTATTTAGAAATTCAGTTGTACCCTATGAGAGAACACTTTGAGGAATATTCGCTGTGTTGAGAATATTACGAAACTTGTACAAGGGCGGAAAAAGTGTTTACATATTTAAGTGGGTGGACGTATTGTGTAGTAACGGACGTGATTGTAACGCTGTTTGACAGTATAGCTGTTAGTTTAAAATTGGACAATTGTATTACGGCGAAGAGTCAACAAAAATGTTATCATTTTATATATCGAACGTAAGTTGGTCAACGACAAATTCTGTAGTTTATAGTTGCACTTCGTTGGTCCTACCACATATAGTAATGTAAAGCGTTTTAAGTTTGCGTGTTGAAGGCAAGTTTGTTAACGAGTCATATTTCGTCCATTGCTAGTTACGGGCTAGTGTTTCGTGTCTCCTGCCTTGAATTATAATAATTGTTTTATTTATGTCACGTAAATCGAATTTTGCTGGTTCTAGTAAGGACTTGTATCGATTAAGCTGAAAAGTCAAGACTTGACAGTTATAATTACGGAAGGATATGTGTTTCGATGGCCCAGCCAGTAATCATAGTAAAGGTAAGATGTTTTGAATATTTTTATTGAATGCATGAAGCCAAGAACCTGCTTGAAATTACAGTAAGGTAGAGCCTTTTAAGTCCAATTTCGCGAATTAGCCCTGTCATTTAGGTATGGAGTCACAGTTTGACAGACCACTGCAAAGTACAGCAGCGTGAAGTGTTTTATTTTTAACGTTAAGTCGGTCAGCAAGCAGTCGGTCGGAACTAGTATTTATAATTGGTTTCTCATTCCACTCATTCCATACTGTGCAGAGGTTTGTTTTCGAAATGCATTTGTGCCAAGCAGCTTGGGTGTTGCTAAGCCGGGTATATCTTGTTGTTTTGCCAACATGACCGAGCTGCATTGTATTTCAGATCTTTTTCGACTGACTTGTTGCCAGGCAGATCTCTAAACTTTCATAATTCATAAACTAAATAATTTCTTGTCGGGAATATGTAATTGAGAACTGAGCTGCCGAATGATGCACATAGGTTGCTCTTTCCTCTTGGCGTTTTCATGAAAAGTTTGGTGGTTCACTGGCCTTAGCTTCGAAAGGCATTTCGGTAACATAAATGATTTGTATTTTGATATATAGATTTCCAGTAATATGATCAAGTCAAGGAGGACGAGGTGGGAGGGCATGTAGCACGAATTGGGGACGAGCAGAATGCATATAGGATATTGGTGGGAAATCCAGAAGGAAAGAGACCACTGGGAAGACCAAGACGTAGGAAGGTGGACAATATTAAGATGGATTAAAATGGATCTTAGAGGATGGGATGGTATAGATTGGATCGATCTGGCTCAGCATAGGGACCAGTGGAGGGCTCTTGTGAACACGATAATGAACCTTCGGGTTCCATAAAATGCTGGCGGCTCCTCAAGAAGGGCTCAGCTCCGTAAGTAAGTGTTTCCAGTAACAAGTGCTGCATTAACAATGGTTTAATATTTTATTGGTTGTTTTAAAATAGCCAGGATTTTATTTTTGTATTGAGGGGGGAGTTTGAATAGAAAAAATAGAAAATTTGTCACGTGTTGGGTATGTCACGCGACATATAACTTCACGCCGTTTTTGACCTAGCGAATTTATCCCACATTCGCTCTTACATTTACACAATTTACAGTTTCACAACTACTGCCATCTGCAGTATCACAATTACTTCTGCTGTAGTCATTGGCATTCACTCGATACGACTCAACTCGTAGCTACTGGACTTCAATTGGCTTCCGCCTGGCTTCACAATCCACACACTGTCACTCCTAACCACACACTCTAGTAACTCTGGTTACACTGACGAATACTCCTCGTTCCGCACTGACAACACAGTAAACAGTTACATGATAGCTACCACTGTTGCGTGACATCATGTTTACCGATTGCCAAGCAACAGTCTCTGCACGGAGTCGCCTGTTGCAACATAGTAAGCGCGGTGTCCCCTGTTACGTCACCGCGGGGGAGGGTGGCGGAGTGTTTACTGGTCCTGTTACCATAGCAACGGCAGCTGATCCTGTGCGGTTACATCACCGCGACAATGGTTGCCTGACAACTTCTCTGCTGTTCTGTCACCGCTGGCCGGGGGGGGGTCCTGCATGGCGCAAATACGTCACAGTATTGAAGGAAGTGTTTGGATTTATAGACAACAGCAATTTTTTATAGATATGTGCCTTTGTTATGGGATTATCACTTTACTGTTTAGGCCTCGATTGGACTTTTCCACCATGACTTTGGAAATGCCGTTACGTCACTTCGCAGGTGGTCACATATTTAGAGCCACAGTAGGCGTCACTTTTTATGTAGTCACATCGCTTCTTACGGTCCCATCAGTTTTTAGGTAGTCCCAATATCCTGGGTGACATTACTGTGCTTTTTCTGGTAGTCATGTACTGCGTACATTCTCATGCAGTCTTTCCAGTTAAGTTATTTATATACTGTATTATCATATGGCGGATATTTCTGGTTCGGATCTTGCAGCTTGTTTCATCATCAAATGTCTATAGTGCAGTTGTTCTAAAGATACTTATATTCTTTTTCACATACCAGCACTCATTACCTTAAGGTTGCCTCTTGTACTTTCTTATTCAGTGTTCCCTAAAACAAATGGCAACCCAAGAAGTAAAAATCATGTTTTTATCAGTTACTATTACTTATTGGTATTAATGACCATATTTACCTGATCTTGGTTATAATTGCAGATTTTCATAGCCCATCGAATTCATCATTCGATATTTGATGAATATCTTTTGATCAGTTACAATAGAATGGTTTGTTTTAGGGTTAGTAAACTTAACTAAATCCCAAATTCATTGACAGGATAGAGAGATTAGGTAAGTTAGAGACGTTAATGTGGTCTACTAAGTATAAATAAACCTGTTATTTGAGCAGCAAGCTAGTAGTATACGTGGCCACATAAACTCGAAATGGAGACAGTAAACTAAAGCACTAATGCTAGGACTGGAATTGATGGTCTTCAGACGGCGACACTGAACACTATTATTCTCTTCCGTGATGTGACAGTAGCGTAGTTGATCAAGGCACTGCTACAAGCCGGAAGGTCGCGGGTTCAAGTTCCGACGAGGTGGAATTCTTTTTTCTTTTCAAATTGACCTAATCCTTCCAGCCGCATTATGGCCCAGGGGTCGACTCAGTCTCTTACAGAAATGAATACCAGGTATCTTCCTGGGGGTTAAAGGGTGAGCGGCTCGTAAGACTTGACAACCTTACCCGCCATCTTTGAGCCGGCTGTCTAGATAATGTGGGAGCCTCGACGTCTCACAACCCTCTGGGCATCCACGGCCTGTTATAAGTGATAGCTTTACCTTTTTATCTTTTACCTGTGATGTGACGCCTAAGTATATGTTCACCGACGTTTCGAAGGTATGCGTTGGTCCTGAGTGTGGGGGATGCATGTTACTCCGAAACGGCTGTAAATGTCTACCAGATTGCACAGCGTCACATTCCGGAAGGGGCAGGATTGGAAGCCATAGCCCACGCCCCTCCTGTTAGTATGTTAATTTATAGACAGTGCCGCTACTAGTGGTGGTGTCGCCGCCGTCCTCACAGTGTGAGCGCCAGGGCTGCCATCCTTGAATTCCATTTTTCAAATGCCTCCAAGAACAGCTTCATTGAACATTGACAAAGCACTCTTTGTGTCAGGGCACCTTTTGGGTGTTCCGCGTGTAATGCGAATGACGTGGTACAATAGTTGATTTTATTTCAGTCAGTGTTGTTGACTAGAAGGGAAATTGTGAAACTTCCTGGGAAAGAAAGTCAAATTCCAGCGCGCTAGAATGTTTTCAAGTCACTCTACGTTATACGGCCCCCAACTTCCTCCTTTCGTTTTATGTAATTATACAGATCCAATTAGTGTGGAATGCAATTGCGTTTCAGGTGTCACTGTTTGTCGCAAGAACTGTAAATCAGGAGTAGTCAGTTTCTCTTTGCATAGTTTCCTGAGCCCGCGTGCCTTACTTAAATTTATAAATCTTTCTGCCACGGCTTATCGTTCTCTTTTTCGGTTCAGATGCTTCGGTAAGCGTTTCGTAATAGTCTACGAAGTGCGATAACGGGTACTTAGTTCTTGTTTAATTCCTATGTATCGTCTCGTCAGGCGGTGCACTTGTCTTGCTGTCTTCTGGTGGTCAGAGTTCATGTCTACAGATCCAGAGATCCCGGGTTCGATTTCCTGAGAAGTAGTGGTTCTGGAACGGTATCCACTGAGCCTCACAAGTATAATTGAGGAGCTACTTGAATGGAAAAGTAGCGGCTCCGGTCTAGAAAACCGAAATTAACGTCCGTGGGGATTCCCTGACCACGCGACACCCTCTATCCGCTAAAGTTTGCACTGACTTCGCCGACAAGCGGCGGTCGCTCGGTCGGTATTTTTCGCTTGCGGACTAAAGCTACGGAGTTTGTTTTGACACTGGAATTTTTGGAGCAGACCAATGACTTATCAGTTTACAGTTTGATTGTTTTTAACATACTTTCCATATTTTTTAAAGAAATATAAGTAGTCTTATGACGTCACCTAGATGTCTGTGCATTTGTATCCCCAGTATCGTTGCTAGGCAACCGCTCAGTAAAGACGTTCCCGTGGAAATGAATACATATGGGAAAAATAGAATTTTTGGACACGCCGTTCTCTACGCTTTGTATCACATGAAACTAGG